GCGTGATTTTGCGTACCTTTTTGTAAAATATCTACATACTGTACATACATTATTGTTTGTCGGCACTCCTTAAAGGCTCCTGCTTTACACTGTGGCTATATTTCAAGCATGTTACAGGCACGACCTCCTGTATTCTCGTTGGTGAGAATGATCAGCAAGTTTGCGTCCTTGGTCAGCTTGAGGCAATGAAAGTTGATGTGGTCCCGACACCGCGGAATGCTCGCCATGAAGAGATGCAACAGAGCTTGGAGATAGAATTTGCGGAGGGAGAAATGCACCAATAGTAGAATCAAAGTACATAAGCGTTAAGCATCGTTGAACCTGGATGCGCGAAAGGGTCTAAAGGCCTTGGGGAATGACTTTGATGGGAAAGAGCTGACATGCGGTGGCCCTGACATGCAGGTGGTACAATCAATTTAAGTGATTTACGATGATTCAAGAGATGTTCGACGGTTTTCCAATGGATCTGTTCTTGTCACTGGCAGCCTGGGATACTGGGCACAACATGCTTTGACATGACATGTGTTTGTTTTCTTGCAAAGGGAAAGACAATTAAAGGACGGAACAAATCAGGTATGCGGTAAAAGTGCCTAAAGCTTGGAGAAATAACATGAACTAAAGAAAAGAAAAGGAACGACAAAAGGACACTTACTCTCCAGTAGGAAATGGCCAAGGTATTCACCCTATTCAGCTTCTCCAGATTGGATGCCATCGGTGCCGTCGCCGCCACCATCGGTGCCACTGTCAGCACGCAAAGAGGCACGAAAACAGATGCAAGTCATAGATGTTTTTTCAAGAGCTTGAGGTTTTTCGTGCATCCTGACTTCCATGCATCAAACGATGCGAATCATGCTACCACATGCTACCAAAGTGAAGATATATCCAGGTGCCCTCTTTTAAGCGAGCCGTCAGGCAAGTCCGTTGCCATCGCGGCAATTGCGATCCAGGTGCAGATGACAAGCTCTTCTGGGAGTGGGTGCAGTGAAAACAGAGCTCACCGTCAGGTCAGCTAGTCACGATGTTGTAAGGATGCGTCATTCTTGAGAAATTCAGAATATCAATTTCCTTGTCCTCACTCTAGGCTAGAGAACTTGAACGGTTCATGAGAACATACAAAACCATTCAGGCAGTGAAGCCATCAAGAAGATTCCGAGCACTTCATACCATCCTGACCCACTGCTTATTCCATGTGATTCCTGTTGCTGCAAAAACGCCTTGCGGCTTGCGCATGATACCAAGGCCACCCATGCCACCACGTCCATGGGGTGCTCAAGCACCACCAAGGGACGAGCTTAGAGAGGCTAGCCGGCGCGCGAGACTAAACATCCCCCAAAGGAATCCAGACTCAGTGGAGTGATGAGTACAGACGAATACTGAATACAGTAGACTCAGTAGACCATCCTTGTTCCGAACAGAGAAACAACCAATCTCACGGACCCTGTGCTCCACATGTCGCTTGCAGGAGCGTTTGGCCAATCTGCGAAGAAAGACAAGGCCGCAGCAGAAAGGTCGACTGAGACATAGGCGTGCATGGCGTGGGATTGAGCTGTTGAGAGAAGCTGGTTCCTGATGGTGCGAGAGAGCGCCAATCCCCACTGAATGGAATGTGCCCCGAGAATTCATGAGAATTCTGCTACACAGAGATTGCTGCCAAATGCTGCGAACACTTCCCAGTCAAGCAACATTCTCACTGTTTTTTTACTTGCCCTTCTTTCCATATCCCACTCTCAGTCTGGACACAGTGCAGGCAGCTAGGCAACTTTCAAGATTATCGATACTCTTCACAGTAACTTGATTCATATATATATATATATATATCTGCATTTTTTGTTGCAACTCCATTTTGTAACGGTGCAGCTTGACACTGTGGACCTAAAAGATCCTCCTCAATATCTCGATAGCTTAGGCAAACCACCTTGCTGCCGCAACATTGCTGCCTAGTATTTTTACATAGCAGCTCTGACATGTCAGGCAGGCGGCTGCGCTTTCGCCCAAGGCGTCCATTCTCACAGAATCAGTAGTCTAAAAGGTCTGAGCACTGTCGTTACAGGGTAGCGGACTAAGACCGGGTCACAGAACTCCGGGCCACCACAGAGGAATTCTTTCTCCTTGCAGGCGTCTCGTGCGGATTCACCTGCCAAATATCCATTTCAATGGCAAGTGGAGAAGGACCTTTGTTGATCAACTCGATCCAGTCTATATATATTTAATACAATTTATTTGAGGCATTCCGTTCCTCCTGTAGCTGCAGGACATTTTTATACCAGAGTTGGTCTTGGCAAACGCCAAGCGGGCAGCTGCCGCCGCACCAGCGCGAGGTGGGCTGGTCAGATTGATCCTCTTTGGTCAGACATCACTCTAGGCAGATTGCTTCAGATGACAAGCGAAGAAGACCAAATGTAGGTGAAAGCGGCTTGAGAAAGCAGCACCGGTCAACGAAAAAGAACGAACGTGCAGCGTTGGTTTTGGCATGATAACTCTGCTGTGGAGGCTTGGGTCAGTCAGAGGTGCCAAAGTTGCCCAGGCTTGGCAGTCAGGTCCATGACAGACATGGAATGGGTGTTTTGCCTATTCATTTGAGCGCAGCAAAAGTGAGTGAGCTAGAAGGCAACATGATGGAAGAACCTAGTGTCTCGCGGCATTGCAGTGACATCAACTGTCAAGTAGCCAGTCACCTGATTGGAAACAGCATGGTCCCTAAGTCCTCTCGTGACAGGGCTTGAAACTGTTTCTTCAGTAGGGAGTCATGAGTCATAAGCCATCCTGAGTCCTGAGCCTAATTTTAAACAAATCAGTTTTTTCACAAGAGTTTTCTTTTTTTCCCAAGGCTCCAGCATCGGAAGCCGGCCAAGTCAAGGGCTGAGACTGCAGTTGTATAACTCCCAACAAACTGCCTGATGGAAGAGACCAAGTCAAAGTCACCAAAAGGTTGTTTCAAAGAACCGTGGACCGTTTTCAGGTTTGTCGCAGAGCGAGTGCCATGTCAGTTTAAAGAAGCACTCGCATTCGGAATTCGTTTGAATCCAACTGTAGTCTCCCCTACTCTGCACCACGGCTCAATCTACCAGATTCTACCGCGCTCCTTCATGGTGCCCAGAACAGTAGCTATGCTATGCTCTCATCCACCAAAACCCATAGAGATATTGATTGAGTTTCCCATTTCGGTGCCATGTAGTTTTTCTCATGCTTCTTTGTTCTTGCAAGGACGCTACTAGGGGCTCCTGGCATCGCTACTAGGAGCAAGGGCGCTACTAGGGGCTCCTGGCCGTACTACCAGTAACAAGAAGCTACTAGGGGCTCCTCATGCATGGCATTGCATGCATGCTTTGTTCTTGCAACCAAATCCGCTTGAACACATCCGGAGATGCGAATCTGAGGCCTCGACGCGCTGGCCCAGTAGTGGGCATACGAAGCCCACGGGTGGTTTGAGGTGTCAGCAGCTTGAGCCCAAGCTTTTCAATGAATGATGCCCTTTGCTCCTAAGCATCCTTGCTCCTGGTAGTAGGGCCAGGAGCCCCTAGTAGCGTCCTTGCTCCTAGTAGCGATGCCCTTTGCTCCTAGTAGCTTCCTTGCTCCTAGTAGTACTTAGCTCCTGAGAGTGAAGAAACCTCTGTGGTCAATTTGTGACATGAACAATGGAGTTTCTGGAATGTGTGCGGCTTGGTCCTTAGAGGGACTTGTACACTCTTGTAGACTTAGAGGGGCAAGATAAGAGTCCCTTATATACAGATGGCCCACTGCTTCAGGACGCAAAGCGCTGCCATTGGAGTGAGGAAGGGACTTAGAGAGAGTGTCACTGCGTCGAATTCTGACAGTTTAGACAGTGCAAGGTGAATTCTGTCTCTATTTGCCAAGACTATTGCAATATTCAAAGACAGCAAAAAAGACGATCGACGTGGGGGCCTCTCCTTTTGCCCACCTCGGCTTGTAGCACAAGGAATTTGGGTGTCCAAACGCGGCAAAACCAGAAACTATATCATTACATTCTTGTGTTTCTGATCACACAGGGGTATATGAGATACAGATTGATATACTGTATAATCTACGTATGATGTGCATGATATAATAGTAATTCTTGTCGATGATATCGATGTGTAGCTGTTCTCCCTTGGCTGGGTTTTGTTGTGTTTCTGAAGACTATCCCACGTTAGTAGCATTGCAGGCAACGAAGCTGTCTTTCACGCATTGCATACAGTACAGTGCTGGAGGCGGCCTTCGTGTAAATTGGAAATCACTCCTGCCAGAGGTCAAGGAGTTGAGTCATGTTGAGTCGATTGCGGAGTGAGCCCGGACGTGACTCGACGACTCGACGACTCGAGCACTGCGTTGAGCGGTGCGAATGACGTGATTTTGTCAAGCCCTGCAGTTAATGATCCGAATGCTTTACTGACTTTGCCTCAACTGTGAAACAGTTGGCCAAAGTCAAGTCAAGGGTATACTGCCAGTGACATCCAGTGGCCCTTTGAAGATTGCGGCCTTTGCCTCATTTCAAGCAAGATTTGGAGATTGTTGTCATTGAATCGAAAAAGGACCCTTCAGCGGGCTTCTTGTTGGCAGGTAGTAGGACAGTGTTCCTTCTTTCTATTTCTTTCCCATAAAAATCCGCCCCTCAGCTACTATACTAGGAGCAAGGACGCTACTAGGGGCTCCTGGCCTTGCTACTAGGAACAAGAAGCTACTAAGGGCTCCTGGCATCGCTACTAGGAGCAAGGACACTGAGTGTCAAAGAGCTGAGTAAGAGAGCCTCTTGGGAGTGACACGAGTCAACGAGTGGGCTAGGCTTGCTTTCCCACCGCTATAAATCAAGCTGCAACCCTCAACAGTTCGTGTTCTACTGTGCTTTTCCAGGTCCGGTTGGCGTTTGACATCTACTTGGACAGCATAGTTGCTCACCTCCTACTGTATCATTCCGATGGTGAATAACAAAACCAAGTTTTTCTGATTCAGAAAAGAGAGGCGCGTGAGGATTCATCTCGCCGGTTTGACTCACTTCCGCGCAGGGATCCCTTCCATGGCGAGGACATTCATGTCCACTTCCCAGCTGGTGGCATCCCAAAGGACGACCGATCACAAGACCAACGGGATTGGAGAATCCAACACACAGTCACACAACACAATTATGCTGAATGAAAATGGAGACTTCCAGATGCTCCAAGCAAAAATGGGAGGTTTACTGATGAATGTTCCGCAAACTTGGACTGGGGAAATTGGAACATGTAAAAACATGTTGCGTGCTGGGAAATTGGAACTCTTTGGGGGCAAAATGAGGTGATGTTCCCATTGATCACAGGAACTCTCTAGTGACTCCAAGAACTCGGCACCATAGAGACTCCACAGTTCAAAAGTTGAGACAAAATGTCGGTTGAGCTGCAGCCAAAGAAAAGAAATGACAAGAACATTTATAGGCCACGGGCGGCCACAGTTTTTGTTTTCTTTGTTGCAGGATGGTCCTTCAGCAGGGGTAGCAGTCCTGTTGGCGCTGGCTTCACTGGTCTTAAACAGGCGCAATTGACAGTCTCACGAAAGCCAATTTAGGCCGTGAGCTTGTTTTGTGGGACAGATGAGCTTTAGACTTTTCAGAGAAGCTCCTTTGAGTCAACTGGCGCACATCTTGTGTCAATCTTTCTGAGAAGCCATGACAAATCCGTCCTTTCACGTGTCTCTTCTCTTTTTTGATCCTTTCTGGTCAAGAGAAATGAGTGACCTGACACCGGCTTAAAGTACGTCACCAACTGCGAGGCCAGTGCGTAGTGATACAGCGGTGACTGGGGAGGTCACGCTGCGAGGCGGGGGTTACGCCTTGACACAGATTTTTTCCTTCTCAGGCGTAGAAGGAGCGATTAAATCAGGGAAGAATCGTTGACTGTTCTGTAATTACTAGAAGCGTCCTTGCTCTCTTGCTACAAGTCGCTTCTTGTTACTAGTAGTAAGGGCAGGAGCTACTAGTAGCTTCTTGCTCCTAGTTGGTTATTTGCATTCGTTTGTGTTTTGTTATTTTTATCTAACAGGTTTATTGGGCACACCCAACAACATAGCTGACAAAAAGCAATTGCGAATGAAACTATGCCGACTTGAGCCTCAGCAAGACTCAGGTCATGTCCTGCCGGTGGGTGGCATTCGAGACAAGGCTGGGACAAGTGGAGGTTAGGATGTAAGAGAATGATGTGCTGGAAGTCTCACTTAACAAATGGTTATATAGTTAATATTGATTGATACAGCTTAGCTCGGGCACACCCTGCATACTCACAGCATATTATGACTATTTGGTGCTTGTACGCACTGACTAGCCACTGAAAGGAAGTTCAGCAGCAATCTTTGCTGTACAATACCCTATCAGTTCAGAAACTTAATGAACTGTTCATGCCATTCTACCTGGTGCTAATCGAACACCAGAGGAAAACTCATGACTCATAACCATCCTCTAGTACACCTTCCAAAGTTCCAAAGCCTTGGCTGTCCAAGGTTCTTGCTGCAATCCGTGCGGGAGTGAAGCACGTGCTGCTTCCAATGGCCAACGAGCGCCATGTGGTGGAGGCAGTTGCTCGTTGAGCAAGGGTTTTGTATCAACCAATATCCAGACTCAATATACCAATTCCAAAGGCCTTTGAGCCGTTCAAGAGCCTTTCTACCAGCATGTTAAAACTCAATGCACGTGTTTGTGTGGCCAGCAGAGTATCAGTCTGAGACTAGGCAAGCATTTGGACGCCAATAGATTCTAATACCACCTAGCTTCTGAGGCTGCCCGCTGACAGATGGCGTGTCTTGTTTGGAGCACTGGATACCACACAACAGGATACAACAGGGCAGTTTGCACTCCAAGCCGCCAGGACATTCCTGCAAAGTCATTGGAGGGAGTTGAGATTCATTATTTGCTGCTCGGCTGCTTTAAAGTTGCAAGAATGTGGTCGCATGCAAATCTCAGCATTGACGCTAACTATCACCAACTCCAACTCTGTCCTATGTACACCTAGCACAAGCTTGACTGGTAAATCGACGTGTAGCCGCAAAACAGACCGAACACATGTCTGTTACACACATGCTTCTGGAAGTCGCCCAACCGCCTAATTAACGACCTCAGGAAGACCGTGGACGAAGCTTTAGATTGGGTACGGATCCCGGGACTCAGCGGCCTGACTGGTTTGACTCTGTGAAAGCATACAGAAAGCAATGAGACATCCATGTTGCATGGTACTCAACCGTCAGTGTGGGACGAAGAACTCCGGAAGACGACGTAGACGGTCTGGGTTTCATCTACCCGTGGTTCATCGACATGAAGATACTGTAACAAAGGGCATCGCTACTACTAGCAAGAAGCTACTAGGGGCTCCTGGCCTTGCTACTAGTAACAAGAGGACGCTAGTAGGGGCTCCTGGCCGTACTACGAGCAACAAGAGGACGCTACTAGGGAACCCGGGCATCGCTACTAGGAGCAAGGACGCCACTAGGGGCTGGTGGCCTTACTACTAGTAACAAGAGGACGCTACTAGGGAACCTGGGCATCGCTACTAGGAGCAAGGACGCCACTAGGGGCTGGTGGCCTTACTACTAGCAAGGGAACCCGGGCATCGCTACTAGGAGCAAGGACGCCACTAGGGGCTGGTGGCCTTACTACTAGTAACAAGAGGAAGCTACCAGGGAACCCGGGCATCGCTAGTAGGAGCAAGGACGCTACTAGGGGCTCCTGGCCTTACTACTAGAAAC